ATTATTGGAGTTCAAAATATAAATAGTAAATATACAGTTGATTGATAAAGTAATAACTTATAAGGTATAAAATATAGATTGCAAATGTAATAATGTTTTAAATATATTTTTTTTATTATTTGTAACTGCATAAGAGACTTTAGAGATGTTTATTATGACTTATGAGTATATACATATACCCAGTATACCACATAGGTACATTTAAAAACAGTGCATTATATTAATATTTTATCCGATGCTTTTTGTTTGAAGATATTTTTAACAAGGATTTTGGATATTTTATGATGGTTATTGGTTAATGAAGTGATAAAAATTGAACAAATATTTATAATAAATGTTTCCAAAACTATCTAAAAGACCTCAGCGTTAATAGTAATTTATCAAAATATATTTGTTTATGGAGCTTTTCATAAATTATTGAGACCAATTTTGTAAATTTTAATTATACTTATTGATTTTTTTAAATGTTTAGTCAATAGATTCAATTTTTTTAGTTTGCAATGGAATAAAATTTGAGGAAAAAGTGACACTAAAATCAAATAACTTTATGTTTTATAAATATTTTTTAACATTCAATCAATATTATGATACCAGATGAAATATAAATAAAATAAAGTTGAGTATAATACCTAAATGGATTTAAAATGGTAAATACAAAAATTAGCTAAAATTCCAAATTGGTATAACTACAGTCATATAATCTGTTTTTGTCTTAATTGTTAATTATTGATAGTGATTACATTTTCAAAATTCTATTAGTTAGTTGCATAGTTGCACAATTATATACCTATCTTTTACGGTTTTATTATTTAGGAATACTATGCATCACTACTATGTAAATGATGTCACAGTTATTTTGTTTTCAGGCGTTTTAAGGTTGTATAAATAATTACCATAAAAAATCCAATTATATTGACCCAAAATCTCCTATTGAAAAATGTTAATTACATTTTTTATGCGATAATACATAAAATAATAAACTTGTGGCAGTAAAAAATTTAAGTTATTATTGATTCTGAGTGGAGTGATAAATGTATTGATTTTACAATATGGTGGGGTGTGTGTGTTTTTTTTAAATATTACAACTCAAAAACGAATAACTGTAGATATTTGACATTTTCACCCAACTTATATTAGCATTTTCTGAATACGATCAATTTTTTCAACAATATTTTGACATCTTTTGGACAATTTATAGACATTTGGTATTTGACATTTTCGATTTTTTTATAGGTTTTTTTTTAAATGTCAATAAGAATTTTATCCCACAGTCAAAAACCTTGAAAATGTAATACAAGGTTTCTGGTAAGTTTTTCTACCAATATCAAAAAAAAAAAAACTTGGGCACTTGGTATGGTAGGTGTCTAGTTGGGTCACTGTAATGGATGTGTTTAATTTAAATTCAATGATATAAAATCATTTTATACGATTAACGATTCTGAGTGAAGACGGCGGGTCTGCTATATTACTCAGGGCTTCAAAACGTTTTTATAACGTTGAGAGTACAACGTTAAAACATTAAAAAACCGATTGAAATCGTCAGCGGATAACATACAGCCCGATATAAGTAAACGATAAACGATTGAAATGGATAACGAAACAGAAACGATGAACAATAATATAGTTGCTAATATCGAATAAGGCAACAAAAAACGATTAATAATTGAAACATAAAATTGCCAGAAAAAAAACTATCAGTAAAATATACTTGGTAATATTTGTAAAACTGTGACTTAAAATACTAGTCATCTAATCAAAATAAAATAAATTTAAATGAAATTCAATTAACTTCTGAACTTCAAACGTAAAACTCGAAATTGTTCATAACGTTTTAATTGTTAATCATGCTAAACGCATAAATTGAATAACGTTCAAATTCTTTATATCGTTTAACAGTCAATTAACGTTTAATATACTTATAACGGTAAACGGTATTAATGTATTATTATTATTATTTTTTTTTTTTTGATTTAAGCCCTGAAGTAAGTGTATTTTATGATATTATTGCTGTGGAAGTAATTTATTTTACTATTAGCCTTTAGTAATACAGTAATACTCTATAGGTTGATTAATTGCATTTTAAAATGACATAATCGTGTGTAAATAACACAATAATATACTTTGAGTACTCACAAATTATATTTTAAGTTACAACAAAATAATAAAAAAAACGTTATTCTTTGTCAACATATCTAATTAGTAATTAAGCCCAAATTTAAGATATCTTTGAAAAACAGTGTTTATATGTATTTTTATATTTTTTAATTACGGTATGAATTACTTATGTGCAATTTTGTTTTAAAATTTCTATCTTAAGCCATGCAAATAAAAAGTTATCAATTTATCATTTTACAAAACTTTCAACAACAAAATTATTTTCAAATTTTTGAGATTTTGATGAATGTTTTTCAAAAATTGATCATTCATAAAAAATTATTATGGATTTAAACTCGACTTTTTTGACCAAGCAAAAAATATTTGATCAACATATCGATAAAATTGCAATTTAAAAAAAAAACTATTAAAAATCGAAATTTTTATCTTATGCTTATAAATTATAAATAGTTAAAAAAAAATCTAAACGTTATTATCGAAAACTCTTATAAATATTTTATACTGGTTTTAAGTTATAATTTTTTTTTATAATGGATATTCACCAGTAAACTATCCATTTTTACCCAATCAATTTTTGACATTGTGTTGTAACTTGTAATTGAAAAACGAATAACGTAGGTGTGTGAATCTTTCACCAAAATGTGCTTATTTTATCATTCTATACATAATATGATTTTCAAATATCTTGTCTCTTTTTTTAGTAATTTATAGATGATTCATTTTCAATTGGTACTTGAATCGTTTAACGAAGATTATTCTATTAATGAAGTTTTCAAACTCAACATTTACTAAAAATTAATTCAATTAATATTAGTAAAACAAATTACTTAAATATAAATATGTCAAAAGCAAAAGCATACCTAATATATTTAGTAAGAGAAGCCGACCGTATTCGCTCAGAATCGTAGCTCATGTTTAGTAATATGTAATACCTACGTAATATAATCATTTAATTCAAATTTAACACATTTATTACACCAGCGACACCTAATGTAGGTTCTATACACAGCGGCACTTAATCGCCGCAGTTTTCAAAATTCAAGTGTTCCTAACAACCTCAATAATATTAGATATTATATTATTATGCGTGGTCGATCTAATCGAATAACCTGGCTTATTGCAACGCTATGTTCGGTGAATAGTAATATTGTTTTTTGAAACCACTGTGAAAAACAAAAAAATGATTTTCCCACTAGCACTGAAAATAACTGAAAACCATATGCAGACTGCGGAACGTATAGTATTGTGTGTATGCATAATATATATGCCTATATCATGTAGGTACGTATCGATCGAGAACGAGTTTTGCGGTTTAGAAAGGTGACATATCGACAGTTGTCGAAAGAAACATGTAATCCGTGACTTAAAAATAATTCCAGGAAAAATACGTAATTTTTAATTTAGAAGCAATAACTGGCGTCCCCTGTCGACGTTTAGATATTTAATTTATTTTGCTCTCCGGGTAAACAATAATGTCAATAAGAAAAAAAAACGATACCAGCTAACGCTTAAATACCGTACACAGAATATGACACCTGTATATTATCGCAGCTGAGGGTGTAAGTCCAACATGTCCAAAGTGCCCTTTTTTTGAAATTGTTTACATCTCGATTGCGGCTTTTACAAAGTATAACGACCAAGGTACCATTTAAATACTTTTTTCGATGGTTATTTGAACTTGATAAATAATATTCCGATTCGTCTTACGAATTTTAACACAAATATAATAAAGCGAATTCGTATGAACTAACAATATTCGACACGAATGGTGGTGCTTCTAGTTCTATAATGGGGAAATCAGACGAACTACAAGATTAAATGCTACCTACAGTGAGACGCGGCTGCTTATACTATGGATAAGCACAAGGAACCTATAAAAACATATTATACAAGTTGCATACAAATTAACGTATTGATATAACATTATAGATTCGTTTTTTTATTTATTGTACACGGTTTAAGATTTTAACTGATTTGTCTATAGATTGGAATGTGAAAATCCAATAATTAATACATTTTTATAGAACATCATTACTTATTGTTCCATAACAAACTCATTTTAAACGTTTGAAAGTTATATAGAGAGCATACCTATAATATAATAATAAAATAATAATATTATTAAAGGTACACTATTATGAGTTTAATAATATAGCTGTTATGTTGATTTAATATTTTCCAAGACTGACTTATATACGATTAAAAAGTTAATGTTCTGTGTTATTTAATGATTCATAAACGTTAATTCGTCAGCTAATATGTGTGTGAGTGATAGGGTGCTATCGGGATAATAATTGGTACGCAATAACTCCTCTGCAGTTATCTATTACAATAATATAAGAGATGAGCTGATACTTGTGGAATTCGGAGGTATATATGACGCTTAGTACTTTATAATTAGTATATAAAATAATGTATTACAGGAAAGAAAAAGCTGCGAGGGTGGAAGGTGTGAAGGAGGAAGGGTGAGAGGAGTAACCACCGGCTTAAATGCACGGCGATAACGTTATGTAGTTCAGCGGTGTTTTTATTAAGTATGTATTAGTTGCGGGAGAGGGTGCGGTGGCCGGTGAGACATAATAGGGGATGATGAAGATTACTGTGTAATGATTACGCGCGCGGCGGTCTCGGTGCTATAAGGTGCAGCGTTTCGCCCTAACGTCGGCGGCGGCGGTGGCGGCGGCGCCGTTGGTAATGAAAAGTTAAATAACACGTGCGCGCTGTCTGTGGCGTCGGCGACGGTGGTGGTTTAAGAATCGCGCCAAAAACGGCCGCCACCGCACACCATCCCGCCTCTCGCGGAGCAGTAATTACGACCTACCACCCAACCACCCACCCATCCACCCACATGTCCTGTCGGGAAACACGTCGCGCGCGCTCGTCACCTCCGGGCCGCCGATTTTGTGATGGTGTCCGCCGCTGTCCGCGTCGTCGTCTTCATCGTCGCAATCGTCGTCGTCATCGTCGTCGTCGTCGTCGTCACCGTCGTCGTCGTCGTCGTCGCCGGACGTGCAGGCTCCCGCGGATCTGTCGCCGGCGGTGGCGGACGGTTGCTGCTGCTGGTGATGGCCTAAGAGTTGATGTTGGTGATGGTGACCGGCCGCCTGCAAGTGCAAGCCGTGTGCGTTGTGCAGCGCGGTGACGTGGGGATGTCCACCGACGCCGTGGTGGACGTGGGGGTTCAGTTGCAACTGTTGCTGCTGCAGCTGTTGGTGCTGCTGCTGCTGCTGTTGGTGGTGCGCTTTGACGGCTTTGCCAAAAGTGGCGGCCACGTTTGCGGCCAACAGGCGTTTGTAGTACAGAGACGGGCTCAGCATCAGCGATTCGGCCGGCCGCAACTTGGCGGCCGCAGCGGCCACGGCTGCGGATGTGGCAGATCCGCTGGCCACCACGTCTTCCAGTGCCGGTCGTACGGTCGGTGGTGGAGACGGTGGAGCCGGTGACGGTGGAGATCGCGGTGGCGGCGGCGGCGGCGGCGGTGGTAGCAACGGTGGTGGTAGCGGCGGTGGCGGAGGTTCTGGTGATAGCGGCGGTGGAGGCGGTGGTGGTGGCGGCGACCGCGAAACCGCATCGTCATCGTCACCGTCGCCGCCGCCGTCATCGTCGTCGTCGTCGTCGGGCCGCTGTTCGTTTCGCTGCCGTGTCGTCATCGCAGTGGCTGGCGGCGTGGTGACAACGGAAACAATATTAATAAATTGTACTGATGTGACGGCGGTGGCTCGCGCTCTTCAATGACGTACCGGCGAGTTCACCAGCGATACGTGACCGTTCACCGCGATTGTTAGTATTATGTGTGAAATTGTGAGCGTTTTTGTGTGTGCTGAGTTTTTTATGTGTGTGGAAAATGTCTCGCGCTCGGGAAAACCGTACAGAACGAACGATGCCGGAAAACTGAGAAGGGGAAAAAAATCGTCCGCGGCGAGCGCACACACACACATGAGATACATGCAAGACAAAAAGAAAAAAAAACCTCGGGACGAAGAAAAGGAACAGGGTGGGCATCGTCGCGACGACGTCGGGGAGGTGCAATATGAGAGCGAGCGCGAGACGGTGGAGTTAGTGAATAAGAGGGAAACAGAGAGAGCGAGAGGGAATGAGTGAGAGGGTGTGAGAGACAGGGTGAGAGAGAGGGAGTATTGAATAAAGGTGGGTCGCGGAGAGGGGAAGGCAAAGGAAAATGGAAACATCGTACGAGTTTAGGACGCAGTGGAAGGGGTACATAACGTCTACCCGCCATCAACCCACCCTCGCACGCACACCCCATCGTCCCCCCTCAACTTTTTATTATATATATTTTTTTCGCCCTTGTACACTTATTGTATTTTCCCTTTTTTCCGAGGACGCGTTCTTTCTGTTCTTTTTCCTCGTTTCCTTTTTATTTTATTTTTATTTTTTTATCCCATTTTTTTTTTTTTTTTTTTTTTTTTGTCAGGGGTGTATTTTCTTCTTTTTCGGGTTGTGCATCCCACTAGTTCTGTATGCGTGTGTGTGATATATATTTATATATATATATATATATGTATATGCAATAATAATTTGACTATGAATATTAAACGACATATACAGACACGAAAAAAACAAACACAACTGAGGGTCAGAGCAGACACAAAAGAGCGCGCAAAGTCGAGCACGCAATGAACCGATGCCAAACCGTTTTACCGCTTTGGTCGTTGACGATGACGGGCGGCAAGCAGGACGTTGTAATAGAGGTGGAAGAGGTGGTAACGAGCACGTTCCTAATTGAAGTGGTCATAAGATTATTTTGAAAAAAAAAACGGTTTTATTACTTCTTGAATCAAGAAATGTTAAATCCAACAACTTAAAGTTTAATGCATATTAAATCACTTTAATAATATATGAAATACTTAATAACGCTCTTTCAATATTCTCCGCACCGTAACAACCATAAAGATCGCTTTTAGATTATTATTATCTTGTATTATAATTGTGCAGTGTACACGAAAAATTATTATAAAATCTACGAAACACTAACTAATTATATACACGGGCATTATTTGAACCATTGAAAAAATATTTACTGTTAGAAGTCATTTGTTACAAAATTATCAGTTTGTGGGTACATTTTGTTATAATAATAATAATAGATAGTAGATGATATTTAATTAATGTATTTTACTATTGTTTTTCATTTAGCAGTAATATTTAACGTTTTTAAAAATCCGAGGCAATAATTTATAGTATTAGACAATATATTATTTTATACTAATTGCTATCAAATAGATAATGTACACAGTTTTAATGTGGTAATGGAAATTTGTCGATCACTCGGAGCACTTTTTGTTTTCTCTATCTGACTCACGCGCAATATGCCAAAACGTTCAGCTGACCAAATCTTATAACTTAGCTTTAATATTTAGAATGAATTGACTTATCGTTAGAATTTGAGTTAAGATCATTAACTGAGTTTATAAGTTGGATTTTGCACTATATTTAAATTTGTATGGAAGTTATAAGTATGTAAAATATTTAATAATGTTCATAAGTCTCAGAAAAATTGAAATTTCGTAAAAAATATCAATATACAAACACAGATAGTGTTCAAAGGTTCAATTCAGATATTTGGTGAATTTGTTGTAATTATGTTAAACCCAGTAACATAAGATTGGTTCGCAAACTTGCTATGTCACGTATGGGTCGGAAAGAGAGAAAACAAATAATGCGCTGAAAGTGACAATCATATTGCTAATCCTGCCCACAATTATACAAAGTTTCATTGTATCACACTATACATTCACCATAAAAACAAAATATGATTTTCATTTATAATTGACAATATTTCGTGTACCATGTACTAGAATATTAATTATTTGAGTGTTTTAATATTTATGTATAAATTATTAATTAATTATGTACAATCATAGAATTATTGAAATAGGCACAAAAAAAACCATAGGTGTATCTAATAATATTTCGAAAAGAACAAGTTTATTATTAAGTATATTTTGGTGGCCTGATAGTGGACTAATTAGCATGCGGTGAATATGTACAGTATAAACTTATAATTAATATGGTTACCTATGTCTGAAAATCAATTAAAATCTAATAACCTGAATTTTACATAACTTAATACTTTAACGCATTCATAGTTTCACTAATTATAATGATTTCATCAATTCTAAGAATAGTTCGTATCGGATTCGCATTAAGTATGTCATTACTTTATGCAGTAAAAAACTACGATTATTATTAGCATGGTAAATTGGTAAAAACAAAACAAGTTAACTAATGCTTCACTATGCATTCATATAGATTTTTATCATTTAAAATGTTCTTTTCAAAAATACTTAATATTAGTATATTATTAATATTTTTATAGCAATAACTAATTTATACAATCATGTACCACGGGTTTCGAATAACAATATAAAAAACAGTTACTCTGAAGTACCCATACTAATAATTTGATTAAAATAAAAAAGCTTTTGAAGAAATTAACAATACCAAATCGGCAGTTAAAATCAAGATAGTCAAATTAAGTAGAATTTCAACCAAAGAGTGTGTATAATAAGGATTTTTGAATAGAATATTGCGTTCTAAATGTCGGCCAAGTACAGTCACTCATTGGTTTACGAGCTAGTGGATTGGCGAAAATTTATTACATGTATTCATCTATTGTTAACAAGCTTAAGTAGGTGGTATAAACCCAACCACAAGAGCCCGAGAAAAGTAAAATAATAATAAAAAGACAAGAGCTCACATTTATAAGTATGATCATGTATTTTTTAGATTTGTGACGGTAAAAAAAAGCTTTAAATTTTAATATCGTTTGACTCGTATAATATTCACCCTTTGGGACCAACACATCCGCCTTGTTATTTCATCTTTTTTTTTCTGAGGGCGTGTAAGAAAAACTCTTCAGTTTTTTTCCCACTCTATCCGTCGCTCACAGATCCCCTCTCAATTTTATTTCATTTTCCTAAACACATTAAGTCTCTTGGAGAGACTTTTTTTTACAGACAGTTTTTTTTTTCGTTACCCCTTTTTGGGATTATCATAATAATAATAAATGATTTTAAATTACAAACAAAAAACATACGCCTAATCATAAATATAAACGGCTTGTTTGTATGAAAAATACCGGGGGTTTCCAATAACACAAACAAACATTGAAGGCGGGCTATGCTAATTTGGGGCCCGAGGTGCCAATTTATTCCGCCCAAATCACACGCAAAGGTGTCGCGGTAGATTCCTGTCGTGGAATTCATTTAAAAAGAAGGTATGAAACGGGTCATAGCAGGAAGTTAAAAAAAAATCATAAATACGTCATTTCACTTTTTATGAAGAGTCCTATTAGCAAAATACAAATAGAAAATAATTTTCTTTGAATAGTTTCTGTATACAGAGAATCTTTTTTTTCATAATTGTTTAACATTTAAGTAACATTTTGTTGAGTTTATAAATTTAATGTTTAAATAAGAACTCTGAATCAATTAATGATTTGTAATAAATATAATATGCGTTAATAATATATAATATATAATATATAACATAATATATAAAAAAAATTTTCATATTGTTTTAACTTGTTAATTATTGAGATGTAAGAATAAAAAACATAGCTTATACTTTATATTTTATAAAATACTGTTATAATTATTTAGATGAATAAATTATAAAATACGAGTACCTATTTAATGTTTAATAATTTATTGAATGTTGAAAACGTGACTTAATGTAACAACCTGCATGTAGTTAAGAAATTAATAAAAACTTAAAAATGGATAGTATGAAAACAAAAATTAAATTTTATTTATTAGTATCAATATTTTATTTTTAAAAATTATTAATAATTTTACAATATTAACCATGTAGCATTCTAGAAGATAATATAGGTCGTACTATAAAATATCCATTCAACGATATGATTCGTGAAATGCCTTTCGCTGAATTTACCAGATAAAACTCAAATTATATTCATTCAATTATTATATCATTTTAATGTTAAAAGTATCAATAAAGTTGTGATTTTGAGATGACTATTCACGTCAGTCAAAAAAATTAAATGTTGCCTTTTTTATTGCCTACAAAAACATTCAATAATCATATTTACCAATACATTAATCAAGATTCTAAAGTTTGTAGCATATTGAGAATTTGTTTTATATATTTATATAAGAGTATTAATAAATCATTATATTATTCGAAAAAACGATTTTGAATTGAGCTTGATGTAAATGCTCGAGATTTGTCAAAAACATTTTTATAATTACAAATTAATTTGAAGTAGGTATACTCTAAAACCGCAATGAAATTCAAAAAATAACCAATTACAAATACAATTTGTTTTGGATTTCCAATGACGCTTTGAGCAAATTTTCGAGCGTTAAATTATGCAGAGATGCTGTCCAAAAAATAAAATATATAAAGAACAATCGTTATAAAACCAATACATTCCTCATTCCACTCCAAAAATATAAAATATATTTATTGACAGGTGCAACTGTTACACACTTTTACAAAATCTGATTTTTCAAAAACTTTACCCAATAAGGACTGAACAGTAATAAATACGTGATAAACCTGATTTTATTTGCTTTATTTTATTATAAATTATAATTATATGAATATAATATGAAGTAAGAATAAATTATTTAAATGTAATACGTTTTAAATAGAAGTAAACTTAATATTATATTATATAAGGCAATCTCGTTCATGTATGGAAATGTTATTTTCGTACACAAATTGCTCACTGTGGGAGGTGTTTTTTCCTGAAAAAAGTGAAGTTTATTCCACTTTCTTTATTTTTTTTATCAGGATATTATTATTTTGTATTCGGAAAATATTGTTTTTTCATTTTATTTCGTCATATTGTGAATGCTTTGGAACACGATTGGAAGTCGTCGAGGAAAACAAAACACTCGTCGTGGTAGTGGTAGTGGAAATTGTT